GATAAAAGTTTTATAAGATGACATTTCCTACAATTTTTCCCTAATAACTTTTTTTGTGATTCATCCCCATTCAGCGGGGGGTCACTTCCCTCGGGGAAATTTTAGTTTTTAAGGGTATATATTTTTATTTTTTTTCTTTTCTCGCCTTCAGTGCATATAAAAAGTTGCAAATAACATTGTATTAAAAGGATTTTTTTTATTTTTTTTTTTTTCACCACCTTTTTGTTTTTAGGGGTAGTTCGCCTATTTTCAACTTTACAAAAAAAAATTATAGAGAAAACTTGTTCATTTTATTATTTTGAGCAACTTTTCTCTATAACTTTTTTTTGTAAAGTTGAAAATAGGCGAACTACCCCTAAAAACAAAAAGGTGGTGGAAAAAAATCCTTTCAATACAATGTTAACTGCACCTTTTTATATGCACTGAAGGCGAGAAAAGAAAAAAAAAAAGAATATATACCCCTAAAAACTAAAATTTCCCTAAGGGAAGTGCCCCTCCGCTGAATGGGGCTGAGTTACAAAAAAAGTTGATTGGGAAAAATTGTAGGAAATGTAATCTTATAAAACTTTTATACGGAATTTTTTTTTGTCAAAAAATAAATAAACTTTGAACTACCCCTATTGAAAAACGGCAGGGGGTGAGTAAAAACTTCATAGAGCAAAAATGTTGTATGTGTTGTATAAAAATTTTTCACGGTGGTTAAAATTTTTAATTTTCATTATAAAATTTCAAACGGCCCTTATGACCACAGACGGCCCTTAATCGCAAAAATCTTTAGATAAATATTGTAGATCAAATAATGTTGCACATCTTTTATTTGAAACATTTTTTTGTAAAATCAATAGGTACCAAGTAATCGCCAATGGCGCACTTTCAACCCCTATAGAGCAAAACGCCAGAGGGGTGAATGCTTGATATTTTCGGTTTTATGATCACCCACCCGCCCCCTATCATCCCTGAAAAGTTCATTTGGGTAGGAATTTTTTTTTTTGCAATACATGTATTTTTCGACTATTTTCCTAGACTACTACTTTTCTAGGAAATTCTAATGATTGTCTTAATAATTCCAATTCGAATAATAACCGCGGTCAGAGAGTTTTTTGTTCCTAAAAATCAAACTGACAAATTAGCAGAATGCGTTGTTCTAAATTTAAATGGTATGAATTTTGTGCGAGTGCGTTATAGTATGAGTGATTTATTTTTTCTGATTGATACAGGTGCTAGTATTAGTGTGATTTTTTCTCAAAATTTACACAATAATGAATTTATTGATACGTCAAAACAAGTCAAAATTAAGGGCGTAGGCGGTTCTACTTTTTCTGTAGGATCAACAAATTGTTATGTAACGCCACTGCTTCGCCATTGCTTTGCCACTAATGCAGGCCAGTGACTTGCAGCGAAGAACGAAACTGCTTCATCAGCATACCGCTTATTCAGCATAATTACTTAGTTTATAGGAATATTATTTTTTTTACACCATTCTTGAGCCAACTTTATTGAATTGTACACCGTACAGCTAAATATTGTCAATCGGGTCTAGAGTAGGGTATCTAGTAAATAAGTTTTGATGTGCAATTTGTTTAAATAAAAGTTACAACGAATAATTTGATGCCAAGAGACTTGCTTCTGTTCCCTAACTAAAAGAACTTAACAAATTTTGGCGACGAGGATCGGATTAGGGTGAAACGAACAGCTTCGCAGTTTGATATCAATCGTTCCAGATTGCATCTGCCAGCCAGCATCGTAAGTAGACAAGTTTTTAGAACGCATTTCTAGATTTTATTTCGTACTCATCATCATGCCTATTGTACCTGATACCCGAAGTCAAACCAGCTCACGTCCCGATTCCCCTCAAGAATCCGTAAATCAAGATCACAATAGTAGTATAGATAGCGGGGTTACAGGTACATTGGTCTCTCTCGATGGCTCATGCCATCCACATCTGAAGAAGTAGAAAAAATCTGCATATGAAATCTGAAGAATCCTATCGTCAATGACCAGAAGAGGTTGTAGAAAGAATAATGTCCAAGCCTAGCCTAGTCTAAAAAAATCTGAATGTCAAAGCGGCCTTGGGTGATGAGAGAACAAAAGAAAAGAATCTTGTTAAAACTCGCGCGTGATGACGCACAAGAATTTGGCAAGCGTTCAAAAACTATCTATGAATGAGATTATTGTTTGTGTTTCTAAAAATATCGCAATTGTGTTTCGCTGTTCTACCGTTACATTATTTTAACTGAGATTCGTTTTTGTTTAAATTAGTGATAGTTAAAATTTATTATAATCAAAACACAAGTTAATAATAGTCAGTAGCCTACAGTGTAGTGTGCAAGATGTATTTTTTATTAGTGCTATTAGTTTTTGGTTTAACAGACGGAAGTAAATTAGAAGAAAAAGACCTAATAGATTTTTTAAGTTATCATGGATACTTGAATATTTCTCAAAATAATAATGTGTCTGATTTAGTAACACCTGAAAAGGCTCTGAAAGAGTTTCAAATTGCTTATAATTTAAAAGCTGATGGAACATTGAATGGTGAAACTGCTTCTTTAATTGAGAGATTTTGGTGTGGCACAAGAGATAATAATTATCAAATTGGAAATGTTGATGAAGGAAAATGGAAATATAAAATAATAAAATGGATTATACATCCTCCCACTTCACATTTACGTATAAAACAAAAATATATAAAAGTTGCAGAGAATGCTTTCAACTTATGGGAAAACGAGACAAACTTGAAATTTGTCTATTCCAATGTCAACCCAAATATAATAATATCATTTAATTATTCCAATCATTCATTTTATGCTAATAAAAATGAATGTCCATATGAATTTCATTATTATGTTCTGGCACATTCTTATTTTCCAAGTTTACAATCTGAGACTGTGGAAATTCATATGAATAGAGCATTTACTTGGTATTTGGAAGACACACCATCAGTTCCAGATAGCCAAAAGAGTTTATTGCAAGTTTTAACTCATGAAATAGGACATGCTCTAGGAATTGGACACTCACATGATACTCAATCTATTATGTATCCTGCTTTACTTGACATAGGCCCTGATGTTCGATTAAGCAGTGATGATAAAGAAGCTATTCAAGAACTCTATGGGAAAAAACAATCATCTTTTAATCAATCACAAACAACAACAACAACAACAACAACAACTACTACTACTACTACTACTATGAAACCGAAAACGACTAAAACAAATAAGCCGGTAATTGTAAAATCAAATGAAGAGATAGAGAATGACAATCGAGGTGATAGAAAGAAAAGTCCAATAATTTGTGATGTCAATTCTAATACGTTGAACAGATATTTAATTGTTAACAAAAAATTGTATATTTTTAATGAAAAATATGTGTGGTTATTGGATTTGAAATCAAAGAAAATTCAAAATACGCCTTATTTAATAACCGATTGGTTGAAATTTCTGCAATTAAATTTTCAAAACATATCTGCAATATATCAAAGGCCTAATAATGATGTTGTATTATTTATTGAAAATAAAATGTATATTTTTGAATATGGATCATTTAGGTTAATAAAAACAGAACATATTAATAATATAATACCACAAATTTCCAATATTCAAGGGGCTGTTAGTTCATATATGGGTAAAACCTATTGGTTTTTTGATGAAAATATGTTTGTAGAAATCGATGAATGTAGTTTAAGAGTAAAGAATACAGGACTAATTACAGAATATTTTCCTGGAATTCCTAGTAAAATTGATCATGTATTCCGCTATAATAATGGATTGTTATATTTTTTTTCTAATGGATATTATTATGAGTTTGATGAATTTACAAGCACTATGAGGGAATCCAAGAAAATTGATTTCAGTTTATTTGGTATATCATGTCCAAACATCGGTTTACTAGAGCAACTGAAATTACTTTTAACTAAAATTATTTCAATAAAATCAATTTAAAGTATGAAATAAAACAATTATTATTTTGATAAAAAGTTTTTTATTTTCACCTATAATTCCTAACATTATTGATAATTATTTTTATGTATCCAGCTGTTATGCTTATCATCAAATCCAAGCCACTTCACAAATATCTGATCACCTTTTCGTTTTAATACTTTCTCAACTAAATAAACATCAGGATATTTTACTGTCTGTAATTGATAGTCATAGAATCCTCCTTTAATAGGATGTTTGTTGTTGTCTTCAAGTAAATAGGTAACATGATTTGTCAAATGAACTTTTCTAATCATGAATATTTCAGTTGACCAATTTGGTTGATATTGCTTGTCGAAAACTCCTCTAAGTTTTGAAATTCTTACATAATCGCCAATATTGAATTTTGGTTTGGATGTTATTTTTATTCTACTGTAAACTGTATCTAGTATCATTTTCTCATGTTTCTTGGAAATTTCTGAGGGTTTAAGACCCGTCGTTCTATGTTTTTTATTATTATAAAGCTTTATAACCCTATTCAATAATGTTGGCATCCACTTATATGATCCTTGGAGACTAAATTCTTTCCACATTATTCCTTTAAGTGTTCTATTAACTCGTTCAACAATGGATGCTTTTTTTTCACTATATACTACATAATGAATAATATTATATTTTTTCATTAAATTTTGCACTTCTCTTCCAAGAAATTCACCACCAGAATCGGTACAAAGATGAATGGGTTTTTCAACTTTAAATACATTTTCAAGAGCATTAGCAACTTCCTTGGAAGTTTTTGTTTTTAAGGGATATGCCCACACATATTTTGAGAAACAATTTATTACAATTAAAATATACTTATATCCGATATTTTCTTTTTCATACTCCCTCATATCCACTAAATCAGCTTGCATCAAATCCAACAGTGATTTTATAATAACTTTTCGTCGTTTGAAATTTATTCTTGTAGGCTTATGCAGTTCTTCAACTATATGACGTTTCACATTAGTGATATATTTAGACATTTTTTTATTCAATTATTTTAGCTTCACGTAATTCTTCAATAATTGAATTTATTTCGTTTACATGACCTGTATTGCCTGCAGTTTGCGACGCGATTAACAATCGTAGTCTATCGACAAGTTCATTTGGATCATCCCAGAAAACATAATCAATTGGATTATTTGAAAGTGACATTAATAATCCTTCACCCTGCTTTAGGTTGAGGTTATTATCATTATCATCTTCATCAGTTATTTTCTTCAATAGCGGCTGAACAACTTTTTTGAATTTTATGTTGTTACTAGAAATTAGTTCAGAAGTAGGGGTGAAGTATTTTTTCAATGCATTGGCTTTTTTCAATATTTGGACATAATTTCTTGCATCATCTTTTGTATATATTGTAGGCACCTTTTGGTTGAATAACAAACCATATAGGCCTTTAGTACCTTTATACTTTTTTCCAGAAACAAGTAAGTCAGGACCATCAAAATTGATTTTTTTATTACCTATAGAAAACTGTTCAATGTCTTTATCCAATTTTACTCTTAATCTACCATCAGATTCTTTACTAATAAACCTTTTTATATATTTTAATGGTAATGGATGATATTGTTCTTCGTAATCAGCTAAAGATCTCTCCATAATAGATTTATTCAACTTATTTTCGTATTCTTTTTGTTTTTGATCTTCTTCCTCTTTCAGTGATTCTTCTACATTTTCAATTATTGACTTTCTTAAAATATTTGATGGTTGCAATTTATTTGTTGAAAAACTCAATTTTCTTTTTATGTGGGGGGCTGTAGCAGTAACCGAAGGATTAAAATTAATTATTCCCTTTGGTGTATTGTCGCTAAATTCAATAGGTGTGGATTGAAAGTTAATTGGTTCAGACGCAACAGATTTCTTGTCATCGTCATCATCATCATCATCATCATCATCAACATCATAATCATCATCATTACTGGATTCATTTTTATCGTAATTCATTTCATATTCTGTTTTAATGCCAAAACTTTTATCTTCTTTTTTGAGTGGTAATTTAATGGTGTCTTTAGTATTAGTAGATGGTCCTAATTTATGTTCAATATTTTGTAAATGTTTTGTTATCGGTTCAAATAAATTATCGTGTACTATTTGACCGTGTTTTAGTACATTCAATTTATTTTTTATGTCTTTACGTTTTGATATCAATTTGTGCTTAATGTTTTTTTCCGAATTAGCATTCTTTCTCCGTTTTGAAGCCATCTTGCACGTTTGACTTGCATTTATTAAATAAGTTTTGAAATCATATTTTTAAATATATATGTAGGTATCACAACCATATCTATATCGACCATCATTAATATTATTATCTTTGAAAATGGACAGAAATCCGAAGGGTTTCTTCCAACAATACGAACATATGAATTTCAAATTCTCAAATGTCATATCTGCACCAACATGATCTGTATAAATGTGTTGTAGATTTAAATCGTCTTGTTTAAATAAAAATATTACATTGGTATTATCTCTTAGCAAGTGTTTTGGGATTTTCGTATATGTCTGACAGAGATAGAAACAATCAATGTTATTGTGTCGTCCCATACTAAAATATTCTCTGATAATATCCTGTTTGCTGCATGCAACATCATCAAAAATAAACACTGAATTCGATTTGGCTTGGTTAGGAGGTATCAAATTTTCACAATTATTAAATGCATAATAACCAATGCCTTTGATTGGTTTTAGTAGGTTCTTCAAATATACATATTTAGGTTGATAGAGCGATTTCGAATAAATGTAAATATTTTCAAACTTTAGTCCATTAGGATGCTCAATCAGACTAAGCATAAGATTAGTTTTTCCACAATTACTGGGGCCTGCAATAATAGCGCGTATTGTTGAAGGAAATAATCTACTATGTTTAACTTTTTTTGTTTCATTGACATCATGATTATCTATTGGTAAACATATTTTCTGTTTTACTATTTTCTTCATATTGTCTTCCTGAAATCAAGATTATTAATACTTTATAAAAGAAGTTGCTGTCTTATATATATTTTTTTTTTTTTTTTTTTTTTTTTTTTTTTTTTTTTTCTGCTTTCTTGTCAGAAACCACCACTGTGGTTTGTCGACAAAGCCTCCAACATCACACACAAACCAAATCAAACAAACAAACCGACATCCATGCACCTAGCCGGGATTCGAACCCGAGACCCACTGCATGCAAAGCAAAAACACAACCGCTGAGCTGCTTGGGTCTGCTGGATATGCTTAGTTTATGATAATTTTCCAAACAATGAAGTACTATTTAAGTCACAGAAATATTAATGGAGACGGTCTTTTAAATTCAGCTATTAATAGTCTTCCATTCGAAATTCATATACCAGGCTATAATTTTTGTGGGCCTGGAACAAAACTTAAAAAACGACTAGAACGCGGTGATGTGGGTGTTAATTCCTTAGATGAAGCTTGTAAAACACATGATATCACCTATTCACAGAGTAAGGAATTATTTGATCGTCACCAAGCTGATAAGGTCTTGTTAAAAAATGCTTTAAGCAGAATTAGTTCTAATGATGCTACTTGGCAAGAAAAACTTGCTTCTATGGGTGTTTCGGCAGCAATGCAAACTAAACTTAAATTTGGTATGGGTAAAACTAGTGAAACAATACCTTTAGGCGCTCAGTCTTTTAGTGCAAGGCAAACGATGAATGTCAGTAAGAAAGTATTAGTCAAAATTATGGAAGAAAGTATAAAAGTAATGCAAAAATATTTAAAAGAAATGGTTTCTTTATCAACAAAATTGAACAATAGTGGTAAAGTTGTGAAAAAAACTCAAATAAAAAAAAAGCGTCTAGTCAAGAAAAATCCTAACATTGTAGATGACCATAATGATGATGATAATAATGAAAATATTAAACATATTGATAACTATCACGAAAAAAAAATTAAAGAACTAATAAATAGGAATAAAAGAAAAAGGAAATCCTATACAGATAATGATGGGATGGATCAAAACGATCACAAAAGGAAGAAAATAGAAGAGAAAATGGAAAACCTTCTTGTATTGAAACTAAAGTCACGTAAGCGTAAGGTTTCTGAATCCTATTCTAATGCTGATAGCGAAGAGAATATGAATATTGATCGTAAAAGAATAAAAACAGAATTAAATGAGTTATTATCGACAAACAACAAACGAAAACATGATAAAAGCGATAGTGATGATTATGAGAGTGAATTTGATAAAAAACTAAAGAAAATAAAAAAAATGTCATTATAAAAAGAAACAATATTTCATTTTAGTTTTTAGTTCCTACTGGATGCTGTAACGAAACAGACTGAAAATGCTTGTTATTAATAGTAACGCGAAAAATACTGTGAAAACACACAAGAGGCAACAACCTCGAAACAATAAGAAAAAAGCTTCTAGAAAAAAAAGAAAAAGCACAAAGTCTAGAAAATCTCAGAAAAAACGAAAAAGAACTCAAACATTTCAATCACTTACCAAACAAATAAAAAATGATATGTTGAAATTAAAACCTAATGATTTAGATGGAGCTGTCAATGTAGCTTTTAAAGCAGCTAAGAAGAACAAAAAGGATACAACTAAGACTCCTAGGGTTATTAAAATTCCAAAAACAGGAGGTATTTTACCTTTATTACCAATATTCGCGGGTCTTTCGGCTCTAGGAGCACTGACTGGAGGAACAGCGTCTATTGCAAAAGCAATCAACGATGCTAGAGCTGCTAAACAACAACTTAAAGAAAGTCAAAGGCATAATCAAACCATGGAAGCAATTTCAATGGGGAAAGGTTTATATTTGAAACCATATAAAACAGGTTTGGGTCTTTTTTTAAACCCTCATCAAATATCAAAAAACTACACCTAATGTCATTATTGCCTAAGCATGCTCTATCAAATAGAGACATAGAAAATTTTGTGAGAATTGTCAAAATCCCTTATTTTCGAGGAGTCTTTATGAAGGATATTTTACCGAAAAAAATAAGGAAATTTGAATCTGGTGTTATCAATTTGGATAATGATTCTGGATCTGGGACTCATTGGACAGCTTATAAAAAACGCGAAAAAACAATTCATTATTATGATAGTTTTGGAAATCTAAAACCACCAACAGAAATTCAAGAGTATTTTAATTCTAATGGTATTTGTAATGTATTCTATAATCATACTTCGTACCAGACCTATAATTCAGTTAACTGTGGACATTTATGTTTACAATTTTTACTCAACTAACTTTGTACAATTTCAATAAATAGTGTGTTTGAAAAAAATTGTTTCATTTACTTGCAGTCCTTCATTCTAGTAACTTGTTTTTGTATTGTAAATATACCTGTGAAAAATGTCCTATACATTTACCCTATCCGGAAGAGAAACTATTTTATCTTCAAAAATATATCCTCCAATTGTACTAAGTGATAACGAAGAATATGCATTAGGTTTAATAAACTTTGAAAGCTACAACTCGATTCCAAATGTTGATAAAACCAATAATCGTTTTCATTATCGAAAAAATAGTGAAATCATAATACCAGAAGGATCCTATGAAATTCAAGATATAAATCAGTTTATTAAAAATTATTTTCAATTAAATTCATATACACTAAAGAAACCCAAGAAAAATGTATCAGAACAAGAAACTCTGATACCTGATAAAGAAGAACCGTTTGTTGTTATAGAAGCTAATAATAATACATTGCAGTGTGAAATCAAAGCAAATGTAAAAATAGATTTCACTAAAGAAAACTCAATTGGAAAACTGCTTGGATTTAATAAGAAAGTTCTGGAAGCAAATAAAAGATACGTATCTGAAAATCCTATAGATATATTTAAAGTAAATTCCATATGTATTGAATGTAACCTAGTAACCAATTCTTACAATAATGGAAAACTAGTTCATATAATCCATATGTTTTATCCTACAAGCCCACCTGGACACAAAATTGTGGAAAAGCCTACTAATGTAATTTATTTACCAATAAGCATGCGCTATATTAATGAAATAACACTTAAAATAACCGATCAAGATGGAAATTTAATCAATTTTCGAAACGAGTTGATTACCATACGTCTACATTTGAAGAAGCTCTAGAAAAATAAAAATGGTTTTTCTCTATAACCATGATACTTTTAATTTACCCATTGATCAATCCTATTATAAAAGTGACATACACAGTAACAAAAATTTCAGTTCTAAGCGAATAACAAAACGATTAACATCAAGTAATAAAAAATTTCTTAAATTACTAGGATTTAAAGTGAGAAAATAATCAACAAAATTCCTTTCAAAAACAATAAAATAAAACAATTTTGGCAAGACTTCAAGTTACGCATAAACATTAAGTCAATATTTTCATTATTTATAAATTGCAAATGTAAATATTTTCAAGCACGAAAATGAGCTACAATGTTCTAAAAGTTGGAGAACACGTTATGCAGGATGAATCGATAATAAGCTATCAATATCACACACATCAACCATATTCATCTACTACTTTCAATCACAATGATGAAATTAGAATACCAATTCAGACACAAGATTTGTATACTTTGCCAAGTCAAAGTTACCTATATATTGAAGGTACATTACTTAAAGAAGATAATACACCCAGTAAAGCTGTACATTTTGTAAATAATGGAATTTTACATCTTTTTGATGAAATTAGATATGAATTGGGAGGCATTGTTGTTGATCGGATTAGAAATCCTGGTATAACATCTACTATGAAGGGATATTTATCCTTTACACCATTACAAAACAATCTACTACAAAATTCAGGTTGGAGTGCAGATACAAATCCTCCAATACTTGATAGTACTGGAAATTTCAATGTTTGCATTCGACTTGAAATGTTAATGGGATTTGGTGAGGATTTCACTAAAATTATAATGAATACCCGTCAAGAGCTTGTATTAGTTAGAAGCAACTCTGATTTAAATGCATTTCAGTCAGATCAAAAAGAAACTTATAAACTTAAACTTAACAAAGTGTTATGGAAGATGCCTCATATTACTGTGAGCGATTATCAGAAGTTAAAATTATTTAAACAATTTGAGAGCAACAAAGATTTAACGATTGCATTCAGAAAATGGGAACTGCATGAACATCCACAGCTACAACAGAGTAAAGTTCACACGTGGGCAGTTAAATCATCAAGTCAATTAGAAAAACCACGGTTTATTATCATTGGTTTTCAAACAGACCTGAAAAATAAACAAGAAAAAAATATGAGCACGTTCAATC